CGAGATAAACCAACTTTGTTGGATGTTTTATATAGATTAATAAGTTCATTTATATCTACTGTACGAAGTAATTCTTTTTTAACAAGATCATTCATGATAATGACATTATGAATAGCACAAATAAAATTTTTGCTGTACGACGTGTTACAGGCCATGTTTATTATTTCAGTAAAAAAATCTAAGCGTTCAGATGAAGATGAAATTGATCCGATTATTGGAAATTGAGTCATCCAGAGATGGGACCTGTTGTTCAAGGTTGTCCATACGCACCAAAGAGAAACAAAAAAGATGAAAAAGAAAAAGGCAGTTAACCTTATTTTAATTGTTATTATTTCGGATAACTAATATCCGAACCTTTATATTTTCAGATAAATCGGCTTTTTATTCTTCTCATCATGCAAAATATATTGAGATAATCAATAATGGTGAACAACTTGATACACATGAATATGAAGAAGCAAAGAAAATTGATCAACAAATAATAGTTGATTTAGATAATGAGGATATGTGCAATGTATATCGAAGTGAGATCGGAATAGATCAGAAGAATCGATCATTTGGTTTACTTGTAACTTTCTTATCTTGTAATGTGGTCATTGGTTTTACTGAATCGATAAAGGCAGAAGGATGTCGTCGAGTTACAGTAAGAATAATTGTAGGTTCTTCTACTACTTTATCGTGCTTTATTTTTATTATAGGACCATTTATTGACCATGTTAAAGTTTGGTGCAAATCTTCCTGATGCACTATTTTATGATAATGCTTGTGCACTTCGTTTACACTGGAACAAAGTGTACGGTACAAAATATTTGGCGAAGAATGAATTCACAAACAAGTTATACAACTTATCGCTTGTATTAGACCGTTTCCATCTAAAAGGTCACACCACACCAATGTGTCGAAAAATGATGAATCCAGACGACAATGAACATGGTGCAAGGTTTAAAAATATAAATACATCTGTTTGTGAACAGTTCTTTTCCTTTTTGACAAAATTTCGATCTTCTTTAAGAGGTTTCAATTATCCACAATACAAACTAAAAAACTGTAAAACTGTGACAGTACCTCATAGTAATTTATAGTCCCTTATACTACCTTATAGTTCCTTACAGCACCTTATAGTCAATTATAGTACCTTATAGTACCTAACAGTCCCTTACAGACCCTAATAGCACCTAATAGTCCCTTATAGTATCTCATAGTCCCTTATAGAAGCTTCTAGTCCCTTACAGTACCTTATAGTATCTAATACTACCTTATCGTACCCTATTGTACCTTATAGTCCTTACAGTCAAGTGTAGTACCTTATCGTCAATTATAGTGCCTTATAGTCCCTTGTAGTCCCTTATAGTATCTAATACTGCCTTATCGTACCCTATTGTACCTTATAGTCCATTATAGTACCTTATATTCCCTTACAGCACCTTATAGTACCTTATAGTACGTTATAATCAATTATAGTGCCTTAAACATGAAGAAATATTATGTATACAAGTAAATGTATACAACT